ACCTTTACAAAGAACAAGAGACTGTCATGTGAACAGAACAGGCTACTGAGTGGTTTATAATCAGGAAAAGTATGCACAAGCATTGTATCCTTTCACCATACTTATTCAATCTGTATGCTAAGCAAATAATATAAGAAACTGGATTATATGAAAAAGAACATGGCATCAAGATTGGAGGAACACTCATTAACAACCTGTGACATGCAAATGACACAACCTTGCTTACTGGAAGCAGATTTAAAATAATTATTGATGAAGATCAAAGACTGCAGCCTTCAGTATGAATGTTTTTCCTTCAGTGGGGAAACACAAACAAACAAGAAAACATATCCTTACAAATGGACCAATAAATAGCATCATGATAAAGAGAGAAAAGATTGACGTTGTTAAAGACTTTATTTTGCTTGAGTCCACAATCAACACTCATGAAATCAGTAATCAAGAAATAAAAAGATTGGGAAAATCTGCTGCAAAAGACCTCTTAAAGCGTACAAAAGTAAAAATATCAGTCTGAGGATAAAGGTGCACCTGACCCACGCCAAGGTATTTTCAGTCACCTCAAATGCATGTGAAAGTTTTAACAGTGAATAAGGAGACCATTGAAAAATGGATGCATTTGAATTATGGTGTTGGTGAAAAGTATCGAAAGTACCATGATTTACCAGAAGAACAAACAAATCTGTCTTAAAAGAAATAGATCCTGAGTGCTCCTTAGAAGTCGTGATTGCAAGATTTTGTCTCTCATTCTTTGGACACATTGTCAGGAGGGATCAATCCCTGGAGAAGGGCATCATGCTTGGTAAAGTGGAGGGTCAATGGAAAGAGGAAGATCTGCAAGAAGGATTTACAACGTTTGGTGTCATCAACAGGGGCTCAAACATAATAGCCATTGTAAAGATGGCACAGGACTGGGCAGTGCTTTGCTCTGTTATGCAGAGTTGCTATAAATTGCAACTAACTTGTCTGCCCCTAACAACAACTAACAGTTGAACTATATAAATTGGAATCAACTTGATGGTAGTGACTTTGGTTTTTTTTATTGGTATCTAACAAAACCACTTGATGATTGATTGATTATACTTTAATGTGGATAAGTTTTAATTTGTTACTTATTTTACTCCTTAGTAACTAATTGTGAATTAAATGATTTTCCTGGGGAGGGAATTTGAGCTTGCTTTTGGGTAGATGTGTAGGGTATTAGAAGATTCCCTGAGAACACTGCAGAGCCATGTCCCAAATGTGAGCCTCCACGTGCCTTCTTCATGCAGCTTCAGACACGCTCTGCACATGAGCCAATGACCACCTTCTACAAGTGCTGCAATGCCCAGTGTGGACACCGCTGGAGGGATTAGGGGCCAGGTTGGTCCAGCAGCATGCACACCTGGTTCTGTACAACCTGGCAGAACCCCAGCAGGACTGTGTCCTGCGTTCTAAGAGCTATGGGCCTTTAATGATGTGACAGAAGGCCAACCCTTTGGGGCAAAGAGACCGGAAATGTGGCCATGCAGTCCATTTTGCCAGTTGGAGAGAACACCTTCATTTATGTCTGTGGAGTTTTTGTGCCTGAGGAGGAATGTCTCTCAACTATGTCTGCCCTGTTTAAGGTCCAGATCGTTTATCTTTACAGGTTTTGAGCAATTGACATTCCTACAACATCTTCTCATGTTCTTCAGTATTTATACAAATAATAAGGCAAGAAGTATTCACTTACTACATTACATTTTTCTAAATATTAAAATATTATAAAAATTAAAAAAAAACAACAACCAAACCCAGTGTATCCTCACTGCATATGGTTGGTGCTGTTTCTATATTTTAGTTGTTGGATTTGGAAAGGGAAGGAACCAATCTCATTGACTCCCCCCCACCCCCCCAATAGGGAGCTTTTCATATGTTAACAGATTTTTCAGCAGCTCAGTTTTTGATCCCTTCAGATCTCCTTCCTCAGAAATGGGCATGCCTATTCTCTGATTTCATATCTCTTTCCTTGTCAGTACTCCAGCATGCATCTTCTGTGTTTTCTAGTACATTTAATCTTATTAAAAAAAATTTTTTTTAGAATTTAATTTAATGATATTTTTATGTGATCAGTAGACGCTCCCTTAACTGTATTTGATATCCTAGCATTTCCCCATGCTTCCGGAGTCACTTTTATCCTTGCTGATGGAATTTTGGTTAGTAAATGTGTTTACAAGCATTCTCTTTTTTATTAAAATCATTACTGTATGTGCAGTAAAATTATGCTGAAACACATTAAAAGCAATCCAAGCGCTATGTGAGTTCAGGCAATTATTTAAGCTCTCTAGCATCAATTTCCTCTTCTATCAAATAAGGCTAATAATTACCCCCACCTTAGAATGGTGTTGTAATGATTAAATTAGATAAACCATGAACATACTCACTCATTTGCATGTATAATTTTATATGTATACAGATTCAAATGGATGGTTCTTTTTCATTTGAAAAGCGGCTTATATGAATTTTTCCTCTTCCCTCTTTCTTTGTCAGCCATACTATGATTTTGGTCACATTAGAAAGTGAGGGATGGTTTCTAAATTGTATAATTTTGGAACTTTCCAGTTCTATATTTTTATGGGAGCAATTGATTTCCAAAATTAGATCACTTGAAACATATTTTGGAAAGCATGTTCTATAACTTTATTTTACATTAGTTTTCTATACTACATGGTTTTATTTTCTGGAATTGTTGTTGTTGTTTTGTGCCGTGGAGTCGGTTCCGACTCATAGCGACCCTGTACAGGGTTTCCAAAGCTGTAAATCTTTACGGGAGCGAAAGCCTCATCTTTCTCCCCTGGAACAGCTGGCAGTTTCGAACTGCTGACCTTGCCTCTCGCAGCCTGATTCGTAACCACTATGCTGCCAGAGTTCCTTATTGTCTCTTAATTGGAGTCCTGGTGTGGCGCTGTAGGATAATCTCAAAACTGCAAGGGCAGTTTGAGCCACCATGTAGGCGGTTCAAACTCACCCACCAGTTGTTCCTCGGAAACCGTATACTACGTCACTAGGAGTCAGAACCGAGTCTATAGCACATAACAATGACAACAATTGGAGTCTTGGAGTGGTGCTGTGGGATAAGCAATGGACCACAAGGTCAGTTTGAACTACAAAATCGGAGGTTCAAACCCCATCAGTCACTTCTTAGAAACTCCATACAGGGTCGGTATGAGTTGGAACTGACTCAAGACACTAACAGCAACAACACCAGTTGTTCTTACAAGCTGTTTTGCATGATATCTCCAATTGTTTTAACCATTCTCCTACTGCGAGGTTGACTAAAACACTCTTCAAAATCTTAACATTTAATATCTCAGGTTGTAAAATGTCTTTAAAGTAGTCGTATTTTAAAACAGAGAAAAAAATAAGGATCACAATTTAAATAAAATGTTTTTTCTCAATCATTTTTTTATTGGCCAAATTATAAAAAAAACTTTCATTAAACATTTTTTAGTTAATAAAAGCTATTTGGCTTTAGGGATAAAAACTAAAGGACTAAGATCATTATTACAAAAGTGCTTCAGGTTTAATCTCCCAAACTGCTAAAATTGGGAGGAATCGTATTGAATGTTTTATAAACATGTGTAAACTATTGGAAAAGTTTGGAGAATTATGTTAATCTTGATGCAAGAGTGAGTTAATGTTTTTCATTTTTGTTGTTTCCTCTTTTCTACTCCTTTAATGATATACAGGTGCTTTTGTTTTTCATTTGTCAAAAAGTTAACAAACTCTGTATTATTGTCTTGTTTTGTGACTTTATCATGGATTTAGCTGTCTAGTTGTATTAGCAAAGGTGTTGTTGATGTTTGTTGTTGTTAAGCGCCGTTGAGTCCGTTCTGACTCACAGCCACACTGTATAGGGTTTCTGAGGAGTGGCTGGTAGATTTGAACCACTGACCTTGAGGTTCAAACCAACCTTGCAGTCTAGTGCAGTAACCCACAGCTCCACATCTCTGTTAGCAGAGGTAGTTAAGGCCTAAGGAGATTAACTGATTCTCATGATTAATGAGTTTTATAAGACATCCAGAATACATTTCAGTATGTTTCATAGATCCCAACACTCATCATAGCCTACAAAAATCCCAGGGATTATATGTTCTGGAATAATTAAGCTTTTTGAATGTCAGTATTGCTGTAGGATATAAAAACAGATCATTTCAACAGACAGTGCATTCATTGATTACAGTTCACTTCGTTCTCAGTTCTTTATTGTATTGGTTATAGAATGGGCTCTCTGTGATGCCTTAATTTGATTCTGGATCCATTACTTTTACACAATTATGCAAAAATTAATGTAGGCTCTCTTTTGGAAGTTTTCTCATTATAAATAAGACAATAAAATTATTTATCTCAGAATTGTTCTAAAGAATAAATTAAGAGATACAAGCAAAGCTCTTATAGAATTGTGCTTGCCACATAAAAAGAGCTAATGAAATGTTTGCCACCAGTCGTTCCTTGGAAACCCTATACAGGGTCACTGTGAGTTGGAATGGACTTGACTTCAGTTACCACCACCACCACAACTAAAATTATCGTTAAAGAAGCGTAAGATGTCATGATTAAGATACAAGATAAAATTTTGTTGAAAGATTTTGAAATCATTGAACTTAAATAGTATGTTCAACAATTTATAGTAATTTCATTAAGACTGAGTACAATTTTTAAACTAGTAGATTATAACAAATTCCTTTATTCAGGAAGTGGTAGGGTTTATAAAACAACATTTTACTTCTCAGTATCAGAATTTAGTATTTTATAAAACTCATAAATATTTTGAATAAGTTATAGCCTATATGTTTTATCTTTCTAATATTTTTAACTAGATCTGTGAGTAAAACCTACATTTGCACCTAATGTACTATTAGTGAAAAGACATAAAAGACTTTATTTGAAATGAGTTCAAAATCATCTTGATTTTGAACAACTGTTAATGTCTCAAGTAAAATATTGAGTGGACTGTTTTATCTTTTTATTTACATCAATAGATTCAGAGACGATGGCGAGGCTATAGGATTCGGAAATACTGCTTTAATTATTATTATCTGAAGGAATATTTGAAAGCTGTGTCCGAGACGAATGATGTAATCAGGTGAGGAGTAGACTAGTGACCATTTTAGCATGGTAAGTCAATAAATATTGACCACAGTGTGGAGGAGAGTGAGTACTCTACCTTGTAAATACTATTATTTATATATGTTGTAATTGATGGTGGGCACTAGCTGAGCCCTGGGGAAACTGGAAACAACCTCAAAACCAGACAAAGGCCACTGTGGAACAAATTCAATGTACACAGATGATTTTGGATCATAATGATGCAGATTTTGAGGAGAAAGTGAAACAATTGTTTGGTAGCACAGGCAAGAACCAGGATGAATGGATGATTGCTTTGCATGACTGAAATGAGGATGCCAACAGAATCATCAATGTACTGCTGGAAGAAAACCCAGTCATGCATTCCTGGAAGATGGTAGGGAAGAAGAAGGGAGTCTCAGGACAGAAGCTGACCAGAGGGAATCAGGTGACCAGAGGGAATCTAGTGAGGGAGGCAAAGAAAATCGTCACAGGGACAGAGACTAAAATTGGCAACGTCATGGGCCACCGAGATCAGGGAGAGGTGCCAGCTGTAGATGAGAGTGTATGCCTGGGGCTTTATCAAAACCAGCTCTGGTTTCGGGTCAGAAAACTAGATTGGCACCAACAGTGGAGTGCCTTCTGGAAGAGGCACAGAAAGAAGCAGAAGAAACTGTATCCAAGGCAGCAATGGCTGTGGTAGACAAGGAGGAAGGTTTTCAGTTCAAGGAATGGGAACTTTTATCCCAAGTAACTATGCAGAGCCAGCCAATACTTTTGTTGTTGTTGTTGTTGTTGTTGTTAAGTGCCATCGAGTTGGTTCCAACTCACAGCCACCCTGTATAGGATTTTCAAGGAGTTTGAATTGCCACCCTTGCAGTTCAAACTGATCTATGGTCAAGTGCTTATCCTACGGCGCCACACCAGGACTCCATACTGACGGTAGCTATGGCAATGGTAGCCGCAATACGTGGGACAACACAGTTGTTGTTAAGTACCACCAAGTCGCTTCTGGTAGTGTAGTGGTTACAAATCGGGCTGCAAACCTTAAGGCCAGAGGTTCGAAACTACCAGCCGCTCTGCGGGAGAAAGATGAGGCTTTCTACTCCCGTAAAGATTTACACCCTCGGAAACCCTGTATAGGGTCGCTATGGGTCGGAACCGACTCAATGGCACTTAACAACAACAACCACCAAGTCGCTTCCAACTCATAACGACTCTGTATAGTGTTTGAACCACTGACATTGTGGTTCAAAGCAACCTTGAGGTCCAGTGTTTTATTCTGGAGCTCCACATCAGGACTCTATGGGAAATACTGGCCACTTTGAACCAGCCATTGGCACAAGACTTGATTTCACTGGGGTTGAGAGAGTCAAATTATCCCTGAAAAACTGAGACTGCTCCTGGTGCATAGAGGACTGCACAGAAGAGTGGGGGTCTGAAGATTTGAATGAAGATCTTTCTGAGACCAAGCCAGCCAGTGCCTCTGAGGAGTCCTGGTGTGGTACTGTAGGATAAGGTCGGTTTGAACTGCAAGGTCACTGATTCAAATCCACCAATCGCTCCTTGGAAACTCTACCCAGGGTTGCTATGAGTCTTAACTGACACTACGGCACTAAACGACAACAAACGTGTCTTTGGTGCCCCTGCCTGGGATAGACCCCATTCTATTAAGGTACGTGAATGTGAGCGTGAGCCAAAAATTAATTTAGATTCAAAGGAAACAGTAATTAATAACAGGAGATTCTAGTGGTGCAAGAATTAACTGCTTTGTTGTTTACGAAAATGGTAACTGTTCAAACCCCCCACCAGAGGCTCCAAGGGAGAGAAAACTTGATGATAAACTCCAGATTACAGCCTAGAAAATCCTATTGGGCAGTTCAACTCACTCATAGGGGGTCACTGTGAGTCAAATTTTCTTGAAGACACCTATCAACAGTAGTTAATAGTAGATGGCACTTACATAGTAGTTGCTGTACTTTCAAAAATCTTTTCATACATTTTACTTGTTAAAGTCTATGAACTACAGAGAATAATTGGCAATAAATTATTAAACAAGAAGCTCTTTCTGAAATCATGAAATGATATATAACATAAATATCTAAAAACTGTTTTCCCAACTAAAATCCTTCATGTATGTAATGAATATAAAAGCATCTGGTCTTTGGAGATTAAGTATAGGTAATGTATTAAGATGATTTCTTTGGGAAAAGCAGCAAAGGTGTCAATGAAGTTTAGTCAACAGGAAACGTTGAAAACTTATGAAACACAAGCCCTAAGGGACTGCTGTTTTATTTCTGCCTGACAAATCTAAAGTTCTAGAAATGGGCTTTGTATCTTCCAGATGACAAGACTTGGGAGAAGTACCGAGTAGACCAGGCAAACGAGAGGGATGTATGAGCAAGGCTGGATTAGGATGAGGTCCAAAATTTAGGAAGGTACTCATTTACTGACCTTAAAACTTCACAACCCTGAGAAGTGAATATGTTCTCCCACTTTGAATTTCAGGGGCCTAACTTGCTTCACCCTACTCCTAATCCTGAATATGAGAAAGTCCCTAAAGAAGCAAACATATAGAAGGGAGGCTTCTATTCAATAGGTACTTTCACTAACCGTTGTTTCTTTCTGACTTTAATGGGAATTTCTTTTGTCCCTAGAGAGTCTGTAATATCTATACTAACAAATGGTTTCAGATTGATAGTCTTCATTGTATTAAAAAATTTTCTGTTATTTCTACCTTAAAGTTACTTGACTAATGCAATATGTCATTTGATTTGACTGCTGTTTTCATGAGTGTTGATGGTTGAACCAAGCAAAATGAAGTCTCTGACAATTTCAATCTTTTCTCCATTTATCTTGAAGCATTCCTAAACACTTAAATGATATTTATTTATCCAATGGTGAGGATTCTGTTTTCTTTGCATTGAGATGCAACCCATACAGAAGGCTGTGGTCTTTGATCTTCATCAGAAAGTATTTTAAGCCCTCTTCACTTTCAGCAAGCAAGGTTGTATCATCTGCATATCACAAGTTGTTAATGAGTCTTCCTCTAATCCTGATGCCACGTTTTTCTTCATATAATCCAGCTTCTTGGCTTATTTGTTCAGCATACAGGTTGAATAAGTATGGTGAAAGAATACAACCCTGTTGCACACCTTTCCTAATTTTAAACCATTCAGTATTCCTTTGTTCAGTTAGAATGACTGCCTCTTGGTCTATGCACAAGATACCTTATGAGTACAATTAAGTGTTCCAGGATACTCATTCTTTGCAATGTTTCCCATAGCTTGTCATGATCCACACAATCGAAAGTCTTTGCATAGTAGATAAAGCAATGATATCTCTCCTTCGACATCCTTGTTTGAATCTGGCATGCACCTTTGCATGTTGTTGTTGTTGTTAGTTAGGTTCCATCGAGTCGGTACCGACTTATAGCGATCCTATGCACAACAGCATGAAATACTGCCCAGTCCTGGACCAACCTTGCAGTTGCTCAACCTCTGCTTACGAGGCTGCAAATCTTTACAGGAACAGAACGCCTCATCTTTCTTTGTAGAATGGCTGGTAATTTCGAACTGCTGACCTTGAGGTTAGCAGCCCAACTTGTAACCACTACACTAAGAGAGTTCCATACTTTCTGTGTTAAGGTTTTTAAAATTGGACACTAGGCACACTAACATTTTACTAACTGTTTATCTTTATATCATTTTGTTGTTGCCCTTGAGTAAGTCTGACTCATAGCAACCTTGTATAGCGTTTTGGAGGTTTTAAATTTTCACTGAAGAGAAAGCCTTATCTTTATCCCACTGAGCGGCCGGCCAGTGCTTATGTATAGAGCCACAACGCTCCCTTATATCACTTAAAACTCTTTTATTTCACTTTTTTTTTTTCTCATGCTTTTACATTTTAGAAGGATCTCTAAAAAGTACAGCTCATTGAATGGATTTTTATAATCCAGTTTTTTGATCACTGACTTTTAACAAAGTTCTGACTCATTTATGTTTCATTTTCATAACTGATATTCACCCAACTGTCAGTTTGTTGTACTGTGGTGGCTTGATATGTGTGTGACTATTATGCTGGGAGCTATCTCTCCAGTATTTCAAATACCAGTATGGTGGGCAGGCATTACACGGGCTAATCTAGGGCTTTGCTTATCCATGTAAATTTAAAATAAGCTTGTTGACGTCTACAACAAAAAGCTTGCTGAGAGTTAAAAAAATAAATATCTTTATGTATTTATTGTGGTGAAAATATACACAACGAAACCTCCAATGATTCAAGGTATTTCCACATGTACAATTTAGTGCTATTGGTTATCTTCACGTTGTGCAATCTTTGTCAGTATCCTTTTACCAAATTATTCCATCACAATTAATATAAACTCAGTGCTCCTTGAACAAAAATTCCCCTTTCCTCCCTTCCGCTCACCCCTGATAACCACTAATAATCTTTGGTTTCTATATGTTGTTGTTGTTGTTGTCAGGTGCCATCGAGTCGGAACCGACTCATAGCAACCCCATGCACAGCAGAACGAAACAATGTCCGATCGTGGGCCAACTTCACTATCGCTGCCACACTTGACGCCATCAATGATGTCACCTGGCTGATCCATCTCTTTGGGGGTCGTCCTCTTTTTCTCTGACCCTCTACCTTACCCAGCATGGCATCCTTCTCCAGCGACTGTTCTCTCCGGACAATGTGTCCAAAGTATGAGAGACAAAGCTTAGCCATCTTGGCCTCCAAGGAGTACTCTGGTTGCACTTCTTCCAAAACAGATCTATTGTTTCTATATAGTATTTGCTTATTTCATATAAGTGAAGTCATATAACATTTGGGGTTTTTGTTTGTTTGTTTGTTTTTCTGCTCAGCATAATGTTTTCAAGGTTCATCATGTTTAGTTTTCATGGATATTGCTCCTAACCTGTCTTTCCTAGGTTAGCAGCAATATCATGAAATTTTTTTTGTTAAGTATTTGTTTGCCACATCCGCTGAGTTGTGCAACTTTCTGCACAGGTA